AGGCCTTAGGGCTCTTTTGAGACTTCAGTCATCCTTCATGACAGATACATTTGTTCACTAAGTGTCACTACATCACAAAAAGGCTACATGGCTACATATACTTGTCAGTACACAGATACTGAGTACAAGTTGTGTTTGCTGTTTCTTGCAGGTCATGAATTTGGTGAGGAGTGGAGCTGGCTGGCTGCGGACGAGGAAGTAGGGCAATATATACATGTGCACATACACGTATATGAGAATGCATATCTATTCAGACCTGTAATTCATGTCTTAGACTTTTTCACACAGCTATAGATCATTATTTGTTTTTCAATTCTCTATTTATGGTTTCATAATGACTGAGTCACCGTTAAAACAAATGAGTTTCAGCTCTAATGCTGCTACTGTCTGTAATATGTTTCTATTTAGATTATTTGTCAGGAGATTTTGTTATTATTGTCCCAGTCTGCTTTTAACTAATGCTGGGCTTACACCAAAAGATTTTCACAGTCACAGACTAAAAACTGAAAGGGTAGCATGAGGGTTCTTCCCGTTAGTCTCGTCCCACCCCTAGTCATGACATAACTTCTGTTGTGATTTGACACTATAATGAATAAAGACTGATTGATTGATTGCTATAGCTGTCAATTTTAGTCCTTGAGTTCATAGTTACGTGCTTTATTTGTTAACTGCTATCAAGGAATATGACTCTCCTTTGTAGTATGCATGAGAGGAGATGCTGCGAGATTTGTGGACTTCTATGTAGTGTCTGCTGATAATGTAGTGGGCTGGTCTGGACACAAAATGCCAGGGCTGAATTTTTGTCCCAGTCCACCCCTGCCTTCTGATGTTGTTGAATTCATCTCTAGTATTTTCTTTCTATTTTAGATTTTATTGTTCAATCACACAGTCATTGAGAGTTACTGTTGCTTGATCAAACTGGTGTTTATGTAGAGCAGGGCCAATGAGCAGCATCTCAGTTTTATCAGAATTTAGGAGCAGGAAATGATGTGACATGTATTTTAACACAGCAGGCAGCAGTCCTCTAATTTAATAAAAAAGAGGTCAAATGGTGCCCCGTGTGAGGCACAGTACTGGAGGCAATTATTCCTAATTGTGCAACATTAATATTTCAGCAGGTCGTCCACGAATTGGAAGGTTGTTGGTTCGATGCCTGGCTCCTCCGTTGCATGTCAAAGTGTCCTTGAGCAAGATACTGAATGAGTTAGTTTCTGTTCGATGGGTTTTGACATCACTGTGTGAATGTGTGTGAAAAGGGCCGAATGTGGCTGTAGTGGAAAAAGTGCTTTGAGTGGTCAGAAGACTAGAAAGGCGCTACACAAGTACAGTCCATTAACCTATTAGTATTTACCAGCCCTTTAGCAGCTATTTCACCTATGGACGATACACTCTAGCTCTCAGGATCACACATTGGGTTCACTCCTGAGAACAAAGCATCAGTGTTAAATGTGAAAACTGATTCACAACACAAGAGGGCGCCTTCATCCTGCTAACCAGGGATGTAGTGGAGGTTAAAGCACCTCAACTCACTTTGTCAGCTCAGTGATCTCCTGCTCCAGCTTCTCCTGAAGCTCTTTGACTCGACTCACTTCAGTTTCCTGCTGGGATCTGACCTGCTGCTTCACATCGGAGCTTCTTTTCTGGATGAGACGGATCAGCTGAGTGAAGATCTTCTCACTGTCCTCCACTGCTTTATCAGCAGAGCGACTGATAGCCTCCACCTCACGCTCCTCTACAGCTACAAAGGGACCCATCTTTGGCCCAATCTTTCTGACTGAACATGCATTTTTGTTGTTTAGTTGAATATTTTGAATACAAATTGTTTGTGTGTCTTGAGGGGTTAGCCAGAACCAGCCTGGTTTGCCACTGTGGCAGCTACATTAGGACTCAGCTAACAGCAGCTACATTAGCAGTAAGAGTTAAGGTAGGTAGAGCAGCCGGAGGACGTCAGTGGGAAAACCAGACGATATTTCCTTCATAAAATATGATGCAGTTTCACCCAAATCACTGATGAAGTTGTGTTTCTGTACAGTAATCAGTGAGCTCTGGCCCTCCAGAAACAATCTGCTCCGGTAGAGTTTGCTCTCTTTTAGGAGAAAGAGTTTTCAGGCTTTACTGCATTCTACAAAAGTACATTTCTGGGAGAGGTAGGGTTTCTTATTGTGCATTACATAGTTCTTAAGAAGGATTGAAAATAATGCTTCATTTTTTGAAATTCATTATTCACTTTTGGTCAGTGGCGGACTGGTGGCCTGGCCGCCCAACTGGCCCGCTCGGCAATTGCAGATGGTCGATACCAAAGGCTCGGTTCGGGTTGCGCTTGATTTTGAAATAAACAATCCGTCGTGCGGCTCATTAGGGGTTTCTCCCCCCTTAAACCAACACACACACACACCACCCACACACACACACACACCTCCTCCCTCACCTGTAGTTCTACATGCTTGGAAAATGGAGCGAGATCGACAGCCCAAGAGGAAAGGTGGAGCAGAGAGGGAGAGGCTTAAAAAGCTAAAAGCACTGACCACAGATCAGCGAAGTGCTGTAACATAACTGATGTTTGTCAGTAAGGGAGCAGGTCAGACATTAAACACTAGTGGAGACAACAGACACACAACCAGAGCCTATCCAGCACCACCAGCTTCATGAGGAGGTTAGTTCCACTTTGACTAATACAAACTGACTTAATAAAACTAATGTTTTAAGTTGTAACAAAGGATATTGCAAATTTTAGAATATTGTTAACTAACATAGACACAACATAATAAATTATATGAATACTGAAATCCTTGTATTATATTATTTCATTTAACCTTTACTTCACCAGGTAAAATCCCATTGAGATTAAGAACATATTTGTTGTTATATGAACATAACCAATGCTTATAAAAATGGTCAATTAGTGAATTTGAATAGATGGAAATGATGGGTGGCTTTTGGATTTTTCTTTTCAAAGGTGGAGAAGGGAGCAGTGTGAGTGAGTGAATGTTGTAACCTTTTCTTTTCTTTTTTTACTCACTGTGACTATTGTATCATATTTTACATTTCTTTCTGTGTGTGTTTGAAGTTTCCTTGTTTAATGTTACAGAGAATAAACCTACACATCTGCAGTGCGCCACCTGTGTACCTCTCACTGTTGCTATGATACTATGGTTGACACAGTGGTCAAATTTATAACTAGTCTGGTACCTGTTACATTAAAAATAGGATTGGTCTCAAGTTTAGGTGGATTAAAAGTGTAATAGTAAATGAAATAGAATAGAAATGTCAGTTTATGTGATTTGAGTACAGGTTATTGCAGCACAACAGAAACATTTATTTTGTAGGGGAAAGAAACAGAAAAAGCTGTGTGTGGGCGCATGTGGAGCCTTTGCTTTATTATTTTACACTCTTACATCGGTAGGCGCCCAACCTAACTCACTCTTGGTGTTTTGCGTTAATCGGGTGGTGGTGGCCTGGGATGGTACTAAATTCCCGGCCTGAATTATTGTCCCAGTCCGCCCCTGCTTTTGGTGATTAGAGTCATCTGGATACCCTTGCACTTCCTCTGACTAACCACAGGGTGGTGGTGTTTCTCTCTGATGTTTAATGTCAGCACCAGCAGCAAACACAGAAATCCACCATATGATAAACTTTAGTTTCCAATCTGTCACACAGCCATGGTGGAAGAGCTTATTTATTGGTGTGACACCTATCTAACACCGTACAGAGACATGTAATGTCACACAGGTCTCGTCTGGTGAGTTAAAATATGTTGTTATTCTTCCAACAGTGTTTCATGGTGAAAATGATCAAGCTGTTCAGAGTTATAACATAATAGAACAAACATCCCTAAAATAATATGAAATGACTACATTTGAACAAACTAATCAGGTAGAAAAGAAGAAACTGTATTAGTGAACAAACACAGATATGTGATGAATATTAATGTCATATACTGACAGACTGTTCAGAGGCCTCGATAGAGTTTGAGACAGTTGACAATCTTACAGATCGTTTTTTAATCAAATAAAGTTCATAAAGATTTGAGGTTTATGTATTTGACTAAAAATATTAATATAGTAAATACTGTAATATTAAATCAAACAGGGATGAATCATGGAATAATATGAAGTTAATAAACAAGAAACATTCATGAAACTTCACATATTGCTGATGATCCCCAGTAACTTCACTTCTTCCCTTCCTCCTAATATTATGAAATTCGACTTTTTAATATTTTATCAGAACTTATTGAGTTGAGACCATCATACAACTATCACCAATTCCTATTTTTTATTATTTATTACCAATTAATATTAAATTATCTAATAAATTATGAAATTGTGTATGTCAGTATATCAGCAAACAAAATAGGAAATAAATATCATTAGTGTAATGAGAAAGTACACCACATGTTATATGAACTCTGAACCTTCTTATAGGACAGAGTGACAGTTGTCTTGTTTGGTTTGGTTTGTCTTTATGTTTTGAATTATTAGAACTAAAACCAACTCTTTACACCTATAATACTTTAATACATTATATATATGGCTGTGACCTCCAGGTCAGTGGTCATTGGCCGACTGGTCATTTGATTTCACTCATTAGAGTGTGTAAGTCAAGACTGCATTAATTAAAAAAAGGATTGTAAAGCGTTACAATATTTGTGAACACACACTCATGTGTCTGGTTTGGTTTTTGAATATTTTCAGAATTAAATATTTAAGCAAATAAAAAGCTAAATTAACAGAACAACAGACAACCTGAGGAAAGACAAACAGCTACAGAGAGGGAGAGGAGTTCATGAGTGTGTACAGCAGCTGAATCTGTTCTCAGTGGTTATTAGGACTCATAAAAAACTGTTGACAGCGAATCAACACTTCCTTTCCTGCAGCAGACGGGCTGTGTGGGTTTCCTCTCTGCAGCCTCCTCACCGTTAGCTGCACTTTTTCACATTAATAACACAATGACAGTTACAACCATCGACTCTGGTTAAAGAATCATTCCAGGAACTTCAGTTTGATTTCAGCTCTCAGTACTCACTGTGAAAGTTGTCTTTAATTCAAACAGTTTTATTGATTCTGTAAAGGTGACAGTTTAAGTTTCTCCAGCCTGACTCCAACTTGTAACATAATACAACATATTAGGACATGTGGGAAAGGATAATAGCCTGCATACATTTATAACATCATCAATACACAGATCATTTCTAATTTATTGGTTCTTTTTAAACATGTTTCAAATTAGAATTTGATTGTAAATTATGTCAAATAGAAGGTTTTAAAATATGTTTTCTCCAATGTATAACTTTTGTGTTTCTTTGTGAAGCATTTTGTGATTCTGTCTTTAAATGTGTTACATAAACATATACATCATAGTTAAAGTATAATCAGTAACTATACTAATCCATTTAATCGTTATCAAACTGTTAGAATTAAATCACTTTTTATTGGTTTCTGGAAAATATACACAATCATCATTTAGCCAACATTCAAACTTCAGGCCAACTGATCAAGCCGCTGTATCATCATTTTATAGCAGTTGTAGCTTCAAAGCAGCTCGCTCTGCTGTTTGTTCATGTGTGGAAATAACAGTGTCATCAGCGTAGAGTTTTACATCCACACTGACACAATTATAAAAAGGGCTCAGCACTAAATCTAATGACACTGATTGTGTTTCTGCATTTTTTGCTATGCAGCCAAACTGAAATTCACAAATACAAAACAAGAACATAGAAAATATAAAAGGTAAATATCTAGCAGACAGGTAATGATTCAGGTTGTCTATGATTATACGAGTCACAATTAAAAGTGGAAATAAACTAGAGCATGAAACTAACACTACAGTAGCACAGAATTTACTCTCACTAACTGTAAATATATATATGTGTATGTGTATGTATTCATATTTTTTGGAGCACTTTACCGAACCTGTATAGAAAGATAGGTTTCCCAATGAACCACAACATTTTTTAAATCTAAATTGATATTTCTGTCTGCTGATCAAAGTGATAAATTAGATGAAACCAGTCAGTCAGCATGTGTGCAGTTGGTGGACGGTCCCTTGTTTCTGAGGATCATCAGCAGAGAGAGTCCACAGCAGTACACCAGACTCTTCACTATCAGCACTGTGTACATCAGACAGAGCAGCTTCACCTGGTACTGAGACGGGGCAGAAGCTGGAGGCGCTGGAATAAGTGATGGTGGAGGTGATGGAATAAGTGATGGTTGGACCGATGGTGGAAGTGACGGTGGAGGTGATGGTGAAGTTGTAGGTGGCGGAAGAGTAGAAACCTCTGAAACAGAAAAGGAGTCAAAAAGAAATGTCAGTCCTCTGCTCCTCTGCTCTCTTTGACAGTGTCTCCACATGAAGCTGAATCACTGCTGAACACAGTCACCAAACCTTCATTACCTTGTTTTATTTGGGCCTCCACTGTCTCCCCCTCGTGCTGGACGGAGCAGTAGTATTTATATGTGCTGCTCTCTCGCTGAGGGATCTGCAAGATGGTGGCTGTACATCCCGACTCTTTGAGCTTCAGCTGCTTTTTGTCAGCAGAGGTCACCTTCTCCAGAGGACCATTGTCCTTTTGTCTTTTCCAGGAGAACCGGACCAGAGGAGGAAACATGTCTGAGGCCACACACAGCAGGGAGCTCTTCCCCTCCAGGTGGGCTCTGGATGCTGCTGGGTACACGCTCACCACGGGCTTCACTATCTGCTCATCTGAAGTTTGACAGCAGCAACAAGCAGCACAGACACACATTCACACAGTCAACAGCAGCTTACAGCACTGCACTGCATTCAGTCTGATCCTGGAAACTACATGGACTCTGATCACTAAACTACTCATCAATACAGCACAAAGTTCACTACATATACTGGATTCACCTTCATATCAAATATATTTACCATCTAATGTCAGCAGATGGAATATGGCAAAAAAAACATTATGTATTATGTAATTCTTTGTTTAAATATTCAGTCAATTTACAATAATTTCACACACATTATGATTATTATAATTAATACTAACAGTAATTTCATACAATCATTACATTTACGATCATAAAGTAGATAATTGTTTTTCTATATTTACATTTACATGAAATAGAACTGTCATGTTAATGATTACAGAATGTATACAGTGGTCCATGCAGATGTGGTGGTCAGTAATTAGAACATATATTTACCACTGAAGAACAAATCAATATATCAATACAATATTAATTAGAAAGGTTTTACACATTTATCCACAATTACAATGAAATGTTCAGATACATGGAATGTTAAAGAATAGTGCCATGTGATATAATATAAAAAAAGGATTTTATTGATCTATAAATATAATATAATCAATATATATGTGCATTTGAATTTGTGTGCAGTCACATATAATCCTATATCATATGCATAAATATATATATTACTTTGGATGAATTCTATTTTTTTTAAGTCGAGTTCAATATTAGTTTTTCCGTCATGTAGAAATATCTCTTCAAAAGTCCTGAGGTTCATTTTACAATTTAAAAATGACAAATTATTCATCCTCATCTAATTTTCAAAACACATTTACTGACATATATACAATTATATTTGATATATACTATCTAATTTATAAAAGCAAGAGATGGTTCTGAATTGCTGAGTTGATCAAATGCTTTATATCTGTAACATTGCCAATATACTTTTTCATTTAAAAAAATAGAAACATATTAGTAAGCAGTAATTCTATTCAAATTGAAATATTATATTCAGTGTCCTTCTTTATGTATAAATATATTTCCATCATATAAAATACGATTGTCACAAGCTAAATCTCTATTTCCAAAGTATTTTAACTTATTTCCTTTTGAACATACAATTACTGTCATACATTAAACAATATCCAATATCATATATTATCTAGTTTCATTAAAACAGGAGATGGTTCTGAATTACTGAGATGATCAAATACTGTATATCTGTAACATTGCCAATATCATACTTTTTCTATATAAATCAGTTTGATCTCATGCAGAAATAAAGAATAACTTCAGTTGTGCAGTGAGATTTAAACATCTTTTCAGGAATTATGAACCTTTTTTATGTAACAATAGCTGCATGGCTGCAAGAATTCTCTACTAATTATGAAAAAACTAACATGTAAAGCCTGAAGCAGCAGAAACTCATTAAAAACACATTTTCAACTTGTTCAATAAAACAACTGAAGGAAAATGAAGGTTTATTCTTACCTGTTACATACAGTTTAGTTCCAGAGCCAAAGATGAAGTAGCCACAGTGAGAGAGACTAATACAAAAACCTGTCTGCTGTTGAATGTCTCTTTAGACACACTAGCAGTGTTGCTCTATGGATGGTAATGTCTGTCCGTCCACTACTTTGGTCCACATGGAATGGACCTGGACCAAAGGATGGATGGATGGACAAATAAAATCTTGTACAGACATTCTTGGTCCTGGCTCCTGGAAGTTGCTCCATGTCCTCCCTGATTCATATTCTTCATATACGTTTACAGTCTACCTATACTATTCATTCTATTGTACATATTGTTGTTTTGGTCTATTCTGTACATACAACATTTATTGTATCTCATCCTGGAAGAGGGATCCCTCCTCTGTTGCTCTTCAAGGTACAAAGTAAGTTATTCTGTCAGTATACAACCAAGGTTGCACAATGAAAAGAAAGTAGCAGGTGGGCTGGTCCTGCCGTTCTGGCTGGGTGGATCGTCTCTTTAATCCAAACCCCACACTTCCTTTGCTGATGACTGCAGTCTATTTCTGTCAGAGGTAATACGTGTTTGAGCAATAAAGCTGAAAACAGATTGAACCTAAACAGAGAAGTTTGAAGGAGCTAGCCTACCGACCGCAGCATCTGAATGTGCAGCCGTTCCCAAAGCAGTAGAAATAATCAGGAGTTTTCCACCTTGATTTTTCACCTGTTAAAGGGTTTTTGTGGAGTTTCTCTTTATCTGAATGGAGGCTGTGAGGATAGAGGGTGTCGTATGCTGTACAGATTGTAAAGCCCCTTGAGGCCAGTTTGTGATTTGTGATATTTGTTCATTGGGTGAAGGGATGAGTCTTAAAGTGGAGATGAAACAGTCAAATATACATACATTATAATATATAGATGATAATAATATATAATAATATATAAATGATCTTATAAAAGTAAGCCACTGTTAAGAAAATTGATTTATTAATACCTCCATCATTGTTTTCATCAAGCCTGCTGTCACAAGAATGGTTGTTTATTAGGAACGCTAGCACTACCCTGCACTACAGACGAGCCAAGCTAGCTGTTCAATGTTCATACAATGGAGTTTGACAGTTTTGATTAGATGCAAATAACTACTGACAAAGTCACAAACACACCGGCCCATTCCTTTGAGCCAATAAGAGCCAATATAGTGATAAGAGCGGTCCCCATGGAGACGAACAACAGCGGTGAAAGTTAAAGGATTCCTGAACTTGGAAGTAATACTGAGTGGTGTCAGATGTCCTGCTGAAAAATGACTTCCCTTCTACTTCTCTACTCAAAATATCTCATACGCTGGCCGTAAACAGAACATTGTCAGAGAACAAAACCAGGAAAGGACTAAACTTTTTACATGAATTTAACAACACTCATGCAGTGTTGTTAAATTCATGTAAAAAAGTTTAGTCACTTACTGTTCATATGAACAGTGTTTCACTGTGACTTACTTATGTAAGTAACCATTAACATTCAAAACCAGGATAACATAACATGCAATTATTGAAGTGTGCTTCTTTACTCCTCAAACACTATAGGCCTACTAGTGTGAGAGAAACTGCACCAAAAAATACCTCCTACTTACTTTAAACTCACAACTGAAATTAAATAAATTTGTTCAATAGCTTGCATTTACAAAATAAAATGTAACTTCACTCTCATATGAATTATCACATTAGTTCTTATTTTAAATTGGTAATAGCAAAATAAAACAACTTCCCTTTTATATACATCGGCATAAAATAATAGCCACAATAAACATGTTCAAAACACTGCATCATTATTCACCTTAGTTCACTCCCATAGATATTAGTACCGCCACTGCTTTTGTTAGCACACTGAGAAACAGAAAAATAACCCCAGAGCAGCTAAAGCCCTATTGGCACGGGACTAGTATTACCTGGGTGATTTAGTAATTACCCCACCACGTCTGTGTTTCGTGCGGCGCATTTGCACGGGATAATCGAAGTCTGTGTTTTAACTCGAATTTACTGACATTATCAATTATTGTCAAGGCTCTGCGTAAACTATGTGTAACAGTCTGTTACTGATCTGACGTTACTTTGCTGGTACTGTCGGGCCCACGGAGCACCGTGCACTCCTCTATACTGCCGAACAGCTCGAACATCAAATGTACAAAAAAAAACGTTATTTCACTAACGTATATGGAAATGCCACTTGTTGATCTGTAGCAGAGTACATAGCTTTACTTTTGTTTTCAATTATGTTTTGAGGTTGCCGACCTATGAACAATCACGGAGACATCAGGATGGATAACAGGGGGAGTTCAGAAGAAGAATAATCTGAGTGTTGTAAGTGCAACAACATTTTACAGTAACGTTAGGCCTGTAGACTAACGTTACATAATACTGTAACACTATATTCAGTGGTGTAGTGCAGGTATATGGAGTATACCCACTTATTTTTCAGTCTGCACTGGGCAGCCAAGTCACTGCTCTTCTTTAAGAATAAAACCATCCTCCCTTTTATTTTTAAAGTGCACATATTTTCATATCTTAAATGTCACTGTTTATAACAGTGCGTTTATCCTTTGCTAGACAGACCACTTAAAAAGAGAAAAATAGGGCCATAAATTAAGAGTATACCCACTTCTCCAGACACCACTACACCACCATGGCTATATTGTGTTATTAATTTATATGTAGATGTAATGTTAGATGTTATAGCTTCTCTATAGCTCAATGAAGAAATAAGTAGTAAATTATTACTGAGTGAACCTGCTCAAAATTTTGTTTGTGCTCAGCAGGTTCATCTGTGAGCCCTGACGATCTGTCAAACACCTCAAGGGAAAATGATGCAGAGGATGATGCATCCACTCAAGGCTCGGGCTCCAAAGCACCACCTCCACCTGCTGCTGAACCGAAGCCACATGGTGGGCTCTCATGTTTAGTAATGTTCTTGTGAATTCAGTAAGAATCAGTTTATGAAATGGATGATATGGTTTGAAGTAGATGCTACTTCATTGTCAAGGGTTCTCTGTTACTGGCACACTAAAACTTCATTCCTCTTACCATAGAAAATGTAAGCTTTGATGCATCAAATTGTTGCAGAATTGAATTGAATCACTGTTGCATTAAAATGTCCCATTAGTTATAGTTTTTACCAATTGAATATGCAAAAAAAAAAAAAATTGTTTTGTATCGCATCGCCGAAGAAAGGGCCGAAAAACCCAGATAATGGAGGCACTGGACAAGGGTCTGGACCGTCTCATACACAATGACAACACCCATGACTGCGAGAAGGAGCGGCTTGAATGGGAGAAAGAGGTGGAGAGAAATAGAATGGAGCTGGAGAAGAAACGTCTAGATTTTGAGTTGAAGAGGATGGAAGCTGAGGATAGAAGAGCAAAAGAGAACAGGGAGTTGATGCTCCAGATGTTTCAGTGCTTTAGACCCCCGCCCAACTTTCCACCTTTTATGACCCCTCTTGCATATGTCCCTCCTTATGCACCACCTCACCAAGGCCCGTCAAATGAGGGCATGGACTTTCCATCCACAGCCCCCGGACCCCCTGTCCCAGCAGCATATCCGGTGCACTACTATAATGACCCACCCAACTAGCTTTTTTATTTCTGCCTTACCACTTTGCAGGAAAGCCTTATTTGTTCTTGTTATGCCTTTAAATATTCCGTTGACTGTTTAAGTTCAAGAGTCATAAGTTGTGAAATTCTCTGATACTCTGGTATTGGTGCATCCCTACAGGAAAGCATTATTTTGCACATTTTCTATGTTTTATAACAGAGTATTTAATTTTATGTAAAGGGGAAAAGGTGAAACAACCGTTAATTTATAACAAAGTTTAAACGGAATGTCACTTGCAAAGTTCAGAAATGTGCCTTTATTTTGCACATTTTCTATATATTTTGTAACAAAATATTTTATTTTATATTTAAAAACTAACAACCAACAAAAGTTATAACAAATAAAGTTACAACTGAATGTGAATGTGAAGTTCAGAAACGTGAAGGATGCTCTGCACTTGAAATGAATGTTTTTTTTCCCAATCTCACGTGGGTCTTGACTGCATTGTTTGGGTATGAGCTTCCAAGGCCTCCCGGATGCACTCTGCTGGGGAGAGAGCAGGTACATCACCCTGCCCTGGTCCTGCCTCTGGCTGCTCCAACATGTCTTCCTGGTGTTCCTGGTAGGCAACCTTCTGCATTTCACAGAAGTTGAGCAACACTACACAAGCAGACACAATATACTTCACATTTTTGGTTTGAGAGTCATTTCTTTTCATAATGCATCGCAAGACGAGACGAGAAAGCACAAGAACTCCGGGGAAGAAGTGAAGTTAGTAACATGCATTAATGGGACATGAATGTGTGCAGAAAGAGAGAGGAAGGGAGGAGCTCAGTGCACCATGGGAAATCCCCCGATAGTCTAGGCCTATAGCAGCATAACTAAGGGATGGTTCAGGACTCACCTGATCCAGCCCTAACTATAAGCTTTATCAAAGAGGAATGTCTTAAGCTTACTCTTGAATGTGGTGAGGGTGTCTGCCTCCCGAACCACAACTGGAAGCTGGTTCCACAGGAGAGGAGCTTGGTAACTGAAGGCTCTGGCTCCTGTTCTACTTTTAGAGACTATAGGAACCACAAGTAGCCCAGCATTCAGAGAACGTAGTGTTCTAGTGGGGTAATAGGGTACTATGAGCTCTTTAAGATATGAAGGGGCCTGACCATGAAGAGCTTTATAGGTGAGGAGGAGGATTCTATTTTACATTTTACAGGGAGCCAATGCAGAGAAGCTAGTACAGGAGAGATGTGATCTCTTTTTCTAGTTCCTGTCAGTACTCGTGCTGCAGCGTTCTGAATTAATTGGAGCGTTTTAATGGACTTATTGGGGCAACCTGATAATAAAGAGTTGCAGTAATCCAGCCTTGAAGTAACAAATGCATGGATTAGTTTTTCTGCATCTGTCTGTGATAGGATGTGTCTAATTTTTGTAATATTACGTAAATGAAAGAAGGCAGTCCTAGAGGTCTGCTTTATGTGGGAGTTAAATGACAAATCCTGATCAAAGATAACTCCAAGATTCCTGACAGTGGTGCTAGAGGCCAAGTTAATGCCATCTAGAGTAACTATGTCTTTAGACAGTGAGTCTCTAAGGTTTTTGGGGCCAAGAACAAGAATTTCGTTTTTTTTTTTATTTTAACATCAGAAAATTGCAGGTCATCCAGGATTTTATGTCCTTAAGACATGTTTGTAATTTAGATAATTGATTAATTTCATTGGGTTTGATTGATAGATATAACTGCGTATCATCTGCATAACAGTGAAAGTTAATGGAGTGATTCCTAATAATGTTGCCTAAAGGGAGCATATATAAAGTAAATAGTATTGGTCCAAGTACAGAACCTTGTGGAACTCCATGACTAACTGTAGTATTTATTGAAGATTCATCGTCATTCATTTCTAAGGCACAGGATACATGCAAGTTGGTGCTTTGAAGGTGGCTACAGGGATCGGAAAATTCACATTCAGTTAATTTAATTCAGGGGTAGGCCTACATTTTATGACAAATTGAAGTACTGAAAAAATGTTGGCATAAGAACAGTGTCATGTCTAACCTATTAAGAAATCTTAAGGGATTACATATTGATTTGAAAGTTCACTAAACCCAGCCCTGACTGACACACAATGTCACCGACCACAACTACTAGTACTAGAAAACAGACGGCTGTCAATATTGCTTGCATTTGCCATCAGGAAGGTAAGGTAATAGCTAATTAATAGCTTGATAATAGAATGGGTGATGAGAGGTTATGCAAAAATGTGATTATTTTTCCTATTATTGGTTTGCCTGGTCTCTGTGTGTAATAATGCATGTAGAACCTCAACCTTGTAATACAATTTTTTTTAGGACAACCTGGGCTATCAGAACATGTATGCTGCAGTGATGTCACATGAATGTATAAATAACTATATGACCATAAAGACAAAAGAAAAAACAAAACGGAAGATTTAGATATGGATATTTTTAATATATTATTATATATATTAATATATTTTTAATATAATAATAACTGGTGAGCCTGTTGAAAGGTAGAAACATGTTCCATCTAATCATCTTTCGAGATTACGCTCTTCTGATGGATTTGAGCTTGCTCTTTCTGCGAATGGGTCTCCATGCTGTGTACCTAGATGAGCCTCCTGAATTTGCACCCAAAATGCTGTCAAAACTTTCATTTATAATTGCCAACGCAGCCTCCATAATTCTCGACCGGGAAAAAGGCAGAATAAAGGCGCGGAAAACACAAAAAACCTTAAAAAAAACAAAAAACGACCCCAAATCACAGAGATGCCGATTCACACGGGACTAATATTATCACATGACCTCTGTGTTTGGCAAAATATGGTAGGTAATTTGCGGTGGAATTTTTACTTTACAAATTACGGACATGGCAGATTTGCACGGGATTAAGATCACAGACGACCTCCGCAATTATTACAAATTACTAGAGGTCCCCAGGTAATACTAGTCCTGTACGAATAAGGCTTAAGAGGGACACGTTTCTCACCGTTGCTCTGTGTTTCAAAGCCGAGCACGTTGATGTCGGGGCTTGCAGCGGCTCACAAGATGGAAGCTAAATGGTTAGCAGACGTAACTCGTCTCCTTCGTTCAGTCACTCGGCTCCGGACTCCCAGTAGGTAAGTGCACTGGTCTTATCTTTCTCCTATCACAGTTTAACTCCAGCTGCCCTCCTCCTTGCGGCTGAGATCCCAGAGAGCCGGAAAAACAACGCGCCTGCACTTCACCTCCGAGCTGACAGGCTGAACGTGGCCTGCGTAGCCCCTGATTGGCTGTTGAGGGCTGGGTACCCCCCACGTTAAAACTTTGCCAATGTAAACAAATAAAAAAAAACAATAAATACTCTCTTCTAATTGCATGTTTTTCCACCTAGGCTACACCAGGTTTAGAAAACAAAAGCACTTTGGTTGAGGTTAAAGATCATGATTTAGGTTCAGTGTTAATAATGCTGCAGTCACTATGAGTGGACAGTGTATTGTAAGATTGTCTATTTTGATGGAAAACAAATGAAATTGGTTGTCAGTGAACATTTTACTGATACGTTCACTATCAACATGTTTGTGACTTCCCAGGTACGTTAATGAACAACATTTCCTCATTATGTTCATAGAAAACGTCATTCAGTCGGCATTATGTTTCCCTCAGAACGTATTTGCTGTTGCAGATGAGTTGTATAGAAACCTCATTTCTAGGAGACCGGGCTGAGGATGCCATGTTTTTTAAAGCTGACTTTGCACTAGCTCATAAGGTAAGCAGTGCTAACAGCGGCTCACATCATCATAAAATATCAGAACTAAAGCAGCCGCCTGTAACAGCTCAGAAACAGCAAGTTTGAACCTAAAAGCACGACTCACAGGGAGACAGGGTAAGATAAAAGTTGACTTTTACTGGAGGCAAAAGGCAGACAAGGGTCGAAACCAGGTAGACGGTCAGAACAGGTAAAGTGATCCAAAAGGGGGGCAGGCAGAGAATCATCAAACTGTGGATCAAGCAGCAGGTCAGGAAGCCAGAACAAAGGCTGGATAGCTGGGTGGACAAAGCAGACAATCTGGCAAAGTATGGCTGGAAATGGGGAACAGGTGAGCAGGTGGGCGGGGGAAGGTCAGGTGAAAGGGGTTACTGCAGGGCAGGAGGGAGTGGCTGGATGTGGGAGTCAGCTGACTGGGACAGGTGGAACAGTCTGAGGCCATCTGGTGGACAGGTAGAGAAATGGCAATGAAGGGGCTGGAGAGGTGGGAATGTGGCTGAAAGGAGGGACAGAGAGGCAGAATGGACACCAATAAACACAACTGAGGCAGACATTGTGACACCCATCCAGTGAATCTGTTCATTCTTTGTGTTTATTCAGATATTAAGCTACACTTTGGCGCCGCTTTGAGTAAGAAGCACTCGTGTTTTCTTCTGAAATATTGGCTGTAATTTTGGCGAGCTTGCTGTGTAGCGGTGGAGCATTGATTCTGTGGAAATAGTGCAGGATGAAGCTTTAGCTTTCTGTTGAGCAAATATTTCATTTGATCATTTCTTTTTGAACACAGAGTCCCAGGGGGTGTAGAGAGATTCCTGCAGGCGCAACCCGGTCTCACTCCCAAGTGGTCAAATCCTGCAGCTCGGTCAGTGGCCCTCCGCTTCAAAATGTGACGCTGTAGGTATCCAGCAGCAGAACAAAGAGGAGGATCTGAATCTTTATCTCAAACATCTTCTTTGGAATTTGTTCTTCTATTATACAAAATGACTTTTACTTTTCATCTGTTTCTGTTTAGTTTGTACTTTTATTGTTTTCTCTTGATTTGATTTCATCATTGTGCTTCTGTTTGTATCCTTTCTCCTCACTGTGTGGAACAACAATAAACCTGCTGAAATATCTGATCAAAATATCAATCAATAGAATATGAAATCAATCCTGACAGCAGGAAAGAAAATCAGTCCCTCAGTTCAGTATGTTTGTGACTCTGGCTGAGATGGAGGTGAAATATGTGAACCTGGGCTGTGGTTTACTGCTCTCTTCCTGTCACACACACTGTTTGACATCTGTTGGTTTTTGTTCAGGCTGCAGGGATCATTTCTCACTGTGGGGACCAGACTTCCAACAGGCGCAGTAGTAGGTGGCTGAATGACTGAGTTTAACTGTCTGGATCTGCAACTCCCAGCCGTTCTCTTTATTCACAGATGAGAAATCATCTTTCTGAGGATGATTGTAACCTGATTCAACTCGACCGTTACTCTTATCAATATACAGAATCAGTCTGAATGTTTCTGTGTCTTTCTTCTGGTACCAGCGTATATTATCACTGTCACACTGGCCAGTTCCTCCACAGCTGAAGGAGACGGTTTGACCAACTCTCCTGGTCAATGTTAAATGATCCTGACTCAGCTCTGCTGCCATGGCAACCAGCGCTGTAGAGAAACAGACAGATAGATGAAGGTTAGTGTGACAGTGTTTGTTAAAGGTTGACTTTGTTGGCTCCTGATTGGCTGGAAACACTCACCTGAACACAGACAGCACAGAGCAGCAGCTGGGAGGAAAAGCATTTTGTGCAGTGGTGTTTCCTCTGGTGAACCTGGGGAGAAGTGGCGCTCTGATGCAGCTGAGGCCAAACAAGGACGAGCTGTGAGATCAGACGAGGGCCACGTGGTTTCTAACAGGTCCTCAGACCTCCCATCAGCCCCTGCGGCCGACAGATAAGGCTGCCGCTGCTGATTGACAGCTCGGCTGAAGCTGCTGTGTGCTTTTCATTTCTTATTGACACTATTTCTCTTTGTTTTATTCTCATTATTTGGAGCTTTTTTCTGGATGATTCTTTTTTCCCAGACTTCTCTGTTTCTCTGAACTGATTCAGTGAGAAGTTTCTTCGTCTTGATTTGAATCTGACAGCAGATGAAAAATCTGGGTGACGATGATGCAGAAATAGAAAAAAGCATTCCTGTTGGCACAAACACATTCAGGTTGGTGGTGAATTTAGTAACACAGACTGTTATCTGTTGTTTAACAGCTGGGATGAAAATACAAAACTACAAATCCACAAAACTCCTCAACTGTGATTTGAAGCCTTAAACGTCCCCTTACATTTCTGTCATTTCATTTCATCATTTCATTTCTAGGACACATAAAACCTTTTCCACACACAGTATCACATCTTTATTGTGGATTCTGTTTGTAGTGCCCCTAATGCTAACCCAAAGGAAGTAGTAGTAGGGCAACTAACATCTAGCTAGGTCCGAGGTGTGGTGCCTTTAATAGCTCAGGACGAGTTAGTATGGGGATCGAACAGTTGACAGTATTTATTGCCTCACCCAACAATATCAACAGCAATTTAGATGGAATGAAAATAAAATCTAAACTAAAATAGAGCTCTCTCAGTTGTATAGTAAAATAAAAGAAATAGTCCTTTAAGGAGTCTGATATTGAGTTCAGAGTTCAGGGTTCAGTTCCTGATCCTTGTACGTGTGTGCACTGAGTCTGCTACTACCCGGGTAGAGTTAATAGTGTGTACGCAGTCTTATCTGTTCCTGAATGGGTAAAGTTGTCTGTGTCTGGTCGTGCGGCGGTCCTCACTGCGTCCCCGACCCTCCACAGTCACTCTGGGCTCGCCATCATTGGATCCTCTAGATTCTTTCTGGTAGCTCAATAAACCAACCTGCACAAGTAGTGCGAGTATTAAGTTACTCTGTTCTGTTCTTATTTCTAACATGAGACCTCATTAACTTATTTTCTTAGTGCATCAATAACCAGTGACTAGAACATACTTTGTTGACAATGGAATGAATTACCACATGTAATAGCAACTGGTACTTTAAGCACCAACAAATCTTAATCATGAATTTCTATAAACCTCAACAATTGGCTCATGCGCGTAAAGCTGCATGCTGCCTGTTACTCCAGCCTTTGAGTCTGCTTTTTTTAACTTCTTAACTTTTATTCTCTTTTTGTTCATTCTTATTTTTTTCACTGTAACTCTATGAAGTCCTGCCCTCTCTAACGAGGTTGTTTGAGAGAGTTTTTGTGTTTTAATAACGCTTCCACCGGGACACGCTGCCGTTGTTTACTCCAGAGAACAGCTGAACGCACTTATGCCTGCGACCACTTTACACTTGCCATTTTTGCATATTTGAAAGTGGGACTTTAAATTATACTATATATATATATATATATATATATATATATATATATATATATATGTCTATTATAGTATGGAGTAATGTAACAAAAGTAATTTCCCCCTGGGATTATTAAAGGATGTCTGATTCTGATTCTGAATTGGTATTTTAACATCTACAAATTAATTATTTACCATCACTTTCTATATGTGACATTATTTTATTTTATTTTAACTGTTTCCAGACATCATTTTAATATTTTAGACTTTAAATATGAAATTTAATTGGATCACTACTAATGTATTTATCATGTACATTTTAATAAACAAAAGCAGCTCAAACACAGTGTAGTGGGGTTACAACTTATTAAAATGTATAACCAATTTAAAGCTGAATGATTTTAATATGAACACAATAAGTGCAATGCACCTTTAATATTTTTACTTACTTTTATTTTTACTTCACTTTATTTGCTAGTGATTAGCATTACAACTTTTTAAGAACAGTGATACAATATTCATTAAGACTAACATTTAGCCTTAGGTTAACCATTACCCAATTTTATAATTATTTTAAATTATGTTATAGAATTCATCTTTACTATGTTCATATATTATTTTCCAGTGAATCCCTCACTTTCAACCTGTAGTTATCAGCTCATACTACAGTTTATATGACAGTACTTCTATCTGTTCTGTGCTGCTGTGAAGAATAAAACCTTCACTCTGCTGCCCTCTAGTGTCTGCAACAACACACTGCTTCAAACTGTACTGCTACTGTCACTACTACTACAACTGTTTCTACTATTAGTGCCTTCTGATGTTGTTGAGTTCATCTCTAGTATTTTGTTTCTATTTTAGATTTTATTGTTCAATCACACAGTCATTGAGAGTTACTGTTGCTTGATCAAACTGGTGTTTATGTAGAGCAGGGCCAATGAGCAGCATCTCAGTTTTATCAGAATTTAGGAGCAGGAAATGATGTGACATGTATTTTAACACAGCAGGCAGCAGTCCTCTAATTTAATAAAAAAGAGGTAAAATGGTGCCCCGTGTGAGGCACAGTACTGGAGGCAATTATTCCTAATTGTGCAACATTAATATTTCACCATATATTTTTGGCCAATATGCAAATTTTCGATTTCAGTCTAAAAATGTCCCAAAGTCTGTACATTCAGTACCACTAGTCTTCCACCGCAGTAGACATCCAGCTATACTTGCAAACAAGTACTTTATGGTGAAATAATTAGAGAATATTGATTTTAAGCCCTCATAGAGTTACCATAAGAGTTTGCTATTGCTGCTAGCTATTCCTAGCTAAACCTACACTGTAGTGTAGTAACAATTGGGTTCAGACATACTCAATGCAAACTAATTACATTTTCTCAGTTTGCTGTAAATTAGTAAATCATTAGTAAAGCAGTAGAGCCTGAAATAGAGCGGGTCGTCCACGAATTGGAAGGTTGTTGGTTCGATGCCTGGCTCCTCCGTTGCATGTCAAAGTGTCCTTGAGCAAGATACTGAATGAGTTAGTTTCTGTTCGATGGGCTTTGACATCACTGTGTGAATGTGTGTGAAAAGGGCCGAATGTGGCTGTAGTGGAAAAAGTGCTTTGAGTGGTCAGAAGACTAGAAAGGCGCTACACAAGTACAGTCCATTAACCTATTAGTATTTACCAGCCCTTTAGCAGCTATTTCACCTATGGACGATACACTCTAGCTCTCAGGATCACACATTGGGTTCACTCCTGAGAACAAAGCATCAGTGTTAAATGTGAAAACTGATTCACAACACAAGAGGGCGCCTTCATCCTGCTAACCAGGGATGTAGTGGAGGTTAAAGCACCTCAACTCACTTTGTCAGCTCAGTGATCTCCTGCTCCAGCTTCTCCTGAAGCTCTTTGACTCGACTCACTTCAGTTTCCTGCTGGGATCTGACCTGCTGCTTCACATCGGAGCTTCTTTTCTGGATGAGACGGATCAGCTGAGTGAAGATCTTCTCACTGTCCTCCACTGCTTTATCAGCAGAGCGACTGATAGCCTCCACCTCACGCTCCTCTACAGCTACAAAGGGACCCATCTTTGGCCCAATCTTTCTGACTGAACATGCATTTTTGTTGTTTAGTTGAATATTTTGAATACAAATTGTTTGTGTGTCTTGAGGGGTTAGCCAGAACCAGCCTGGTTTGCCACTGTGGCAGCTACATTAGGACTCAGCTAACAGCAGCTACATTAGCAGTAAGAGTTAAGGTAGGTAGAGCAGCCGGAGGACGTCAGTGGGAAAACCAGACCATATTTCCTTCATAAAATATGATGCAGTTTCACCCAAATCACTGATGAAGTTGTGTTTCTGTACAGTAATCAGTGAGCTCTGGCCCTCCAGAAACAATCTGCTCCGGTAGAGTTTGCTCTCTTTTAGGAGAAAGAGTTTTCAGGCTTTACTGCATTCTACAAAAGTACATTTCTGGGAGAGGTAGGGTTTCTTATTGTGCATTACATAGTTCTTAAGAAGGATTGAAAATAATGCTTCATTTTTGAAATTCATTATTCACTTTTGGTCAGTGGCGGACTGGTGGCCTGGCCGCCCAACTGGCCCGCTCGGCAATTGCAGATGGTCGATACCAAAGGCTCGGTTCGGGTTGCGCTTGATTTTGAAATAAACAATCCGTCGTGCGGCTCATTAGGGTATCTGCCTCGCTGAAGCTCACACACACACACACACACACACACACACACACACACACACACCTCCTCCCTCACCTGTAGTTCTACATGCTTGGAAAATGGAGCGAGATGGACAGCCCAAGAGGAAAGGTAGAGCAGAGAGGGAGAGGCTTAAAAAGCTAAAAGCACTGACCACAGATCAGCGAAGTGCTGTAACATAACTGATGTTTGTCAGTAAGGGAGCAGGTCAGACATTAAACACTAGTGGAGACAACAGACACACAACCAGAGCCTATCCAGCACCACCAGCTTCATGAGGAGGTTAGTTCCACTTTGACTAATACAAACTGACTTAATAAAACTAATGTTTTAAGTTGTAACAAAGGATATTGCAAATTTTAGAATATTGTTAACTAACATAGACACAACATAATAAATTATATGAATACTGAAATCCTTGTATTATATTATTTCATTTAACCTTTACTTCACCAGGTAAAATCCCATTGAGATTAAGAACATATTTGTTGTTATATGAACATAACCAATGCTTATAAAAATGGTCAATTAGTGAATTTGAATAGATGGAAATGATGGGTGGCTTTTGGATTTTTCTTTACAAAGGTGGAGAAGGGAGCAGTGTGAGTGAGTGAACGTTGTAACCTTTTCTTTCTTTTTTTTTTACTCACTGTGACTATTGTATCATATTTTACATTTCTTTCTGTGTGTGTTTGAAGTTTCCTTGTTTAATGTTACAGAGAATAAACCTACACATCTGCAGTGCGCCACCTGTGTACCTCTCACTGTTGCTATGATACTATGGTTGACACAGTGGTCAAATTTATAACTAGTCTGGTACCTGTTACATTAAAAATAGGATTGGTCTCAAGTTTAGGTGGATTAAAAGTGTAGTAGTAAATGAAATAGAATAGAAATTTCAGTTTATGTGATTTGAGTACAGGTTATTGCAGCACAACAGAAACATTTATTTTGTAGGGGAAAGAAACAGAAAAAGCTGTGTGTGGGCGCATGTGGAGCCTTTGCTTTATTATTTTACACTCTTACATCGGTAGGCGCCCAACCTAACTCACTCTTGGTGT